TATCATAAAAATATTTTCATTCTTATATGTGAAAATGATGCATGAATAACGAATAATTATTTTCAAGTTATTTAATCAAGATAAACTATTATTTTTAGTTCTACTAATTAAAATTAAAATAATTTTGTTTACTATCTATAAATTAAACAATAAATAAATTCAGTCAAATACTGCTCTAAATTACACTAAATTTGCAGATAAATTACAGAATATTCAAGCAAAAATTTATTTTATATAAAATTCGAAAACGGTTAAAACCGGTTTTTTAGTAAAATTAAAATTCGAAAACCGGTTTTCTGAAATGTCGGTTTTTGTATAAGTCCTAATATATATAGGTTATGTGTATTTATAATATATATATATATATAATATATATATATATATATATATATATCAGTGCTGGATTTACAGTAGGGGCAATCGGGGCTACTGCCCAGGGCGGCAAATTTTGGGGCGGCAAAATTTGGATAGTGAGAAAAAAATTCTATACAATATAATCAACTTTTTTAACAACATTTTTTATTTCAAGAAATATAATTAACAAAACATAATACGATTGCAATGCAAAATTTGGGTTGAAATAAACGATAACTAAAATTTATTATTTTGCCTTGCCTCCCTCTCCGAACGTAAATTATCAAATTGGTTAATAAGTTATCAAATTTGGCAATTTGGCTAATATAAAGATCCGTAAACAAGCTGAAAGTTTAAGAAAAATATGTTCTTCAGTTCTCGAGCCCTCTTAAAATGACGTATTTGTGCACTTCCAAGCTTATAGCGTCGAAAAAAATATTTAAACTAGTGACTCATGGCATTGTGCCTTAAGACAAATTACTGAAATATCCTGTACTGAAAATTACATTTTATAAAGAGCTTTAAATTTTATTGAAAAATGAAAAAAAGACTTCTAAAACACATTTTTTGTATTTTGAAATTTTTCGAACTTTTTGCAAAGCAATCGCGCTGCGTAGCTGTTTCAGAGAAGAAATATCAAAACTAAATTATCATTTTTCGTAATTGCCTGTACCAAAAGCTAATCAGCACGTCTCCCCATCAATACAAATCTAATATTTTTTAATCATTCAAGTCGATTTTGAGAACACGGATCAACCGATTTATGATTCAATTCCTATTGATAAGGAGTCGTACTGATTAGTTATTGGTCAAGGCAGGTCCAACAGTTTTGAAGATACGGGCCAAAATGCCAAAAATGATTATTCAGTTTTGAGAAAAAGCGTCCAATAACATTCAAAAAAATTTACAAAATAAATAACTGCTTAATTTGTGGGGGGCAGGTTTAGCGGTTTCGATGATCCAATAAAAAAATTTGAAGAAGAAACATTTGGCGGACAAAAGTGATCATAAGACATATGCACATTAAATTATCAGATATTTTAAAGATATTATAATAATAAGTATAAATTTTGTTTCCATTTATATAAGTTCTGTAACATGTTTATCCGTTAGACTGCGACGCGGCGCTTACGCGCTTCTATATTTTGTCCCTCGCAGCTAAAGCAGCGCCATTACTTTAAAAAAAGTCGAAAGTTCGTAAAATTTCAGGGATGGGGCGGCATTTTTGTCAGTGCCCCGGGGGCGCCAAATTTCTAAATCCGGCCCTGTATATATATATATATATATATATATATATATATTATATATATATAATATATCATTTGGAAGGTAAAAGGGCTACAACTTTTTTTATTATAATTTTTTTCGTAACTCCTCTCATTTTGAAACCGCGAAGGGTTAAAGGGCTCGAGAGAGACTCAAATAATCATAACTCGTCAATTTTTGTGTGATAGAAATATAATAAAAAGCAATAATAAGCCAAAAATAGCCCTTTGATTTTTATTTATATGCTTTTATATGTATCTTTTATTCTTTCTTAGATATAACCAAATATAGTTTGATTTTTTAAAAAATCGGATTTTTCTTTATAAAATCGTGAGTTTTCTGAAAATAGTTTGTACTAAGTAGTGAATCTGCTAGAATCCATCAAGATCTTTATAAAATTAGAAGAATTCTAGATAGAATGTGAATAACTTTAATTTTGGTCGAAATGGCGCTCATTAAACCATATGATTTAAATGAAAAAAACATCGTATATGCATCATTTGCATGATAACTCACGCATTTTACACGCAAAAAACTTGTAACAGCACTATTAGTGCACTATTATTAAACCCAATTTCACTGACCCAAAACACTCCATTGACTGTAGTATATGCAGTTTGCATATCTCATCAATAATTTTTCAACACACATTGTGTTATTTTCAATAATTTTTTGGGTATCCAATTCCACCTTTATGAATTAAAAATGTATAACATTAAATTGAACAAATCAAATTAACTCATATTTCAGAAGATATTATGTGGTGAATATGCTAACTAATTTGATGTATATATCAGTCCATGTGCTCAATTTAATAATCTTAATACTTTAATATTATTTTAATACTTTACGTTAAATTATTACTTTTTATTAAATAATATTAATATTATTAAATAATTTGTTTATTGGCATATTACACAATTCTTGGATTTGTTTAAAAAAAAAAAATACATTTTTATCTCTATTTAAAGTTGCAGTGTAAGTTACTAAATTTAAAATATTAGTCTGCAAAAATATTCAATAATAGTATGTTTTAATGGTTTTGCAGTTTAAAGCGTCGACTGATCACTCTTGGGAAAATAATGTGCAACCGCAATTTGTACCACCATTAGCTCCAGAGCCATTGCCTATTCAAGATAATAATAAACGCAAAGCTAAAAAGAGCAGATGGGAATAAATGAATTAGAATTAGTTTAAAATACTTAAAATATTACTTTATGTATATATATATATATATATATATATATATATATATATATATATATATATATATATATATAAAATTTTGTTTGTGAACTTTGAGATATGTTTCGTATTTGTGAAAACGTAATGAATTATTTCATGAACTCTTGTATATATGAGGTTATTTTATTATATTAGTTCTTTTATATACATAAGCCTTTTGTATTAAGATACATATATTACTTTTCTAAATTGTTTTACATAATGGATTTTCTAAAAGCATGTATTGAAACCATCTTGTGTTCTGACGTCAATTTTAAAACATTCATTTATTGCTATTTACAAATATCAAAAGTGTTAATTTACATTTTTTCAATATCTATTTCTTCATTTGTGAAAAATGAATTGTAACCCATGAAAAATATATTTTGCCAGATTTTTTTCTCAAGTAGACAAGTTTGTTGGTTATTTATCTGTTGAACTTACAGAGGGGTTCAATTCTGAAATAAAAAAATATTGTATGATTAAAAAAGAGAGACTTTACATTTCAAGTGTGGGATTTTGAAGAAATTTATGATGAAAGGTTTGGTTTCCAAAGTGACTATCATAAAATATTAGATACATATGAAAATTAAATATTGCGTATTAGGGTCATTCTTTTACAAACCGAACACCAATTAACCTTGACATTTTAGAATTGTCTGAAAATTTGTTTACAGATACTATTCATAAAATCATTTGACACGTATTTCAGGATTTTGCTCAAAAAAAAAATTTTTCGAAATTCGAAAGTGACAAATGAATACAAGTCTTTGAGGTCCCCGACGTGAAAAGCACGGCTCGCGCTTGAAAATATTTATTATCTTTCGATGTAACAAAGTCTCCAACAAATTGTAAAAAGAATTTTGTTGCAGAGAAAAAAAGAAAAAATATGTTTTTTTGGATCGATTCAAGTAGGGGGAAGGCTGAGTAAAACCTTTGTAAATATTTAAGGGTTGTTATTGTTAAGAAAATTGCAAAAACAAAAAAAAAAAATTTTTAATCATTACAAAGTTCAATATGAATGTAATAAACAAAAATAATACTGATCCAATCAGCACATCCGGAGATAATTAATTTACCGCAGATGATGATGTTCATAGATATTGAGCAAAAAATCCATATTTCAATCGTAAATATTTACGTAAAAAATTTTTTTCAGCAAAAACCTGAAATACGTGTCAAATTATTTTATGTATATCTGTAAAAAAAATTTCAGACAATTCTAAAATGTGACATTTTATTTTATTATCTTAGAAAATGGTACGTTTTATTATTCTTATAGTTTAGTAGATTATGCTATTCTTTTGATTTAGAAGTTTTTATAATAAATAGTTGTTCCTTATTGAAAATAGAAACAAATTTTAATTAAAAAAGCTGTCATTAGCTCAGATATAGTCCAGATAATACGCATCCTAATACACATGAAACCGAAAAAATATTGTTTATCAATTTTCCAATATAAGAACGAACGGCAACAATCATAGTGTGGCACAACGAACACAAACAAACATAGCGAGCAATGTTTTCGCAACTTGTTGGTACATCAAAGAAAATTGTTCGTTCATGTTTGAACCCGTATGTGCAGTGTGGACGCTGCCAAGACTGTAGACATTTCTTTTTTTTGATGTTGTGCTGCTGTCCTGCATTAGTTTATGTTGTGACTATTATGTGATATTGCTATTATTGATACATTTTGCGAATATGGATCACTTAAAACAATTTTTACCTTTCCCTCCACTTTAAATAATAAAACTGACGAGAAAACTGAATATTCTCGAACAAAGAAGATTCAAGCCCTTACTGCTTTGAGGTGTTTATTCAAGTTCGTTTGGAATGATTCGCCTTCGTTCGTGTTCGTGTTCGTTCTTTTTTGTATTTTGTTGTTGTTGTCGTCATGTTTGTTCATGCTCGTTCGTTCGTCGGTGAGGGCGCACCTTAACTTGTTTGAGAATGACAGTTTGGTTGTGTCAGTCAACACTTCAAAAGTCAGCCAACGAAATTTGTTTTATACTTGATTGGCGTTCTTTCGAATTTTCTTTGCCGAAAAGATTAGTTTATAAATTAAACCTATTTGTAATTGCTTAATGCTTCATTGATTGTTCTGTTCATCTTAAGGTTATTTTAAACATCTAACAATCTGGTTTTTGGTAATAAAAATGCCTAGATTGTCTAGATTAACTTGTGCTGTGGAGGATTGCGAGTTTAGTACATATGATAGAACAATAAATGAATTACGCAGAGTTCAGTTTTTTGCATTACCATCTGGATTCTCTAACAGAGATCGTAGGTCGAAGTGGATTAAATGGCTCAGTGATATCAAGTAGTTTTACAAAATTACAGAGTTTTACAATTACAGTATATAATAACAGATAATTTTTAATTGTTTGCAGTGGTGAAAATTGGGAGGTATGTAAGTATTCACATGTGTGCTCTCTACACTTTATTGGTGGGAAACCTTCAAACATGCTTTTACATCCTGCATATGCTCCATCAATAAAGACTCGAGATGATTATACACCATTAGAAGAAAAGATTGCCTAGCAGAGTAATTATAATAATATATTGACATCTTTGTAGTTTAACCTGTTGCATGATAAGTAATAAAATACTAATGCATGTTTACATTATAATTCTTAATGTAAAAATGTTCATATAAATTTTGGGTCCAATAGAACCACAGTCGAGACATGTAAATGCTACATTTGTATGCATGACGTTTATAAATATGTGCTGAGTTTAAAAAAGTTAATAACATGTAATTTTAATCGCAGGTTTGAAATATATAAAAAGCAAAAAATAGCAAATATGAAGAAGCGATACAATATGCTAAGCCTTAATCCAAATAAAGTTACTGGAATTAATCATTGTGCATCTCAAAACAGTTGTGCGGTAATCCAAAAAGATGTTGGTGTTCAAGTTTGGCATGAAGATATATCAAAACAAGACAAATCCTTTTTATTTGTATGTAATAGTTTTATCGATAATAATAAAAATCATGCAGAGATTCAAGTTTATATTCCAGAAGGGACCGGAAGTATGCGATTAGTAAGATATAAAAAAGCCAAAAATAAGTGTTGTGGAACTGAAGTCAAATTTGCAAATAAATCTGTTGAGTGCACTGCTTCGACATTGCTATCAGTTAGCAGATGGTTATATGAAATTGATAAGCTAGAACAAGAATCTAATGATAGATAGTTATTTTACTTGTGAATGATCCTAGTCAACACTTTGAATTTAAGCTAATGCTTAATGTCTGAGTATTTATAAATCGAGGCATGTAGGGTGATAAAAATGAAAAATTATCTAATAGGAAGAAAATAACTAGTGGTACGTGGCAACATGCCAAAAATTAAAGCGCTTTTTGACCCAAGCTGCAAGCTCTATAAAATTTTAAACTAAATATTTTAATATTTATTTTAAGAATATGTATTATAAGAATAAAAAAATAAATGAAGCCCTCTTCAACATGGGCACTAAGGAAAGCTGGTACATTTATCACCATGCAGCAAGCATAAGAAATACATATATTTATTTTATGGTACACTATATGTATCAAATGTACATAAGTATTCACTATATGTAGTATATGTACATTGCACGTACCAGGAAGCCTGTTAAGGCAAATTTCTGGAACTTCTTGTATTATAATTAAACATTCTTAGAATAAAAATAGTTACTAATCAATAATTAATAACAATCATTTTAAATGTTTCCAAATAGATCAATAGATCACATAAGTACAGTAGAAACTCGATTAACTAGTCTAATTGTTGTCAATAGGCATTCCGATAATCAAATATATGAAGAATAATATTGTGTACATATGTATGTATTTGTTATTAAAAATAACAAATAAATACATAGATATCAACAAAAATAATGTTTATTAAGAAATTAAAACTTTCGTATGTATGTACATATATATTTTCTCAGATTACATTACATACATATCCTAAACTGCAGCATTAATCATTCAAAAATCCGAATTCTAGGTATGCATATTATACATAGAAATTGGTTCGTGCTGGTAGTCCGGATAATGGCAAATCCGGAGGGTCGGATAAACGAAGTTCTACTGTACTGTCTTTTTCATTATTTGTATTTCATGCATAAAAAATAAGAACTTATAATTAGACAACGACATTTATATATGTTTGCAAGAAAAGTAAATAAACAACATTTAATCGCAGTTACAATTAAAATGTGGGGCCTTATATCATATTTCAGCATGCGAGAACCTAATCTCATATTTCTAAGATTGATGTAAAAAAATGTGAAAACAAAATTATAAATATTACAAAATTGAATTGCAAAGTTTTTTTTGAGTATATCATTGAGCTTTAGAACTTTTGAAACTTGAAACTTTATGTTGAATGAAAATTAAAATTTTAAAATAATATTTTAACATAATATTAACATTTTCGAATTCTTCGGTATTTTTTAAAAAATATTTTTTTAGATTGTGAAATATTTGAAAAAACATTTTTTTTTTGTAAATTTGAAATTTTTCAAAAAAATTTTTTTAATTTTAAAATTTTTGAATATCTTTTTTGAAAATTTAAAAAGAAAATTGGAGGATATTTTATGAAACTTATAAAAGCGAAAAATCTTTAAAAAAAAGAGTTAAAAAAAGGAATAGCTTTGTGATGAAAATATCACACCATTATCAGACCATACGAAAAAGAGGTAAATCTCACGAAACGATGGAATCCCGAATAAAGCGGTTATATTGCGTTTGTCCTCATTTTATTCTTATTTTTATCAATTTATCATTTTTACAAGATCCTGTTATGTTTAAAATATGTGTTATGTATAATTTTTAGGAATTAATAGAATGTGTTAGAATTATATAATTTTTCAGGTTGGACGCACTTCTTAATTATACCTTAAAAATTACGAAGCTAGAAATATACTAAAAAATATAAAAGAAAAATACAATAAAATTAAGAGGGATAATATTTCATAAAAGTGCTTATTGTTTTACAAAATCAACGAAAAATGCAACAAGAAAAGAAAACATTAGATAAAATAAGAGTATAAGATGTCGGTGCATCAAAGAAAATGGTTCGTATGAGGGTATTCTAATATTGTCTAGGCGTACGAACATAAGGTATTTCTAGTATTGTCTAGGGATGCTACCACAATGTAGACAAACATTTTTCTTTTTTGATGTTAATATGTGCAGTCCTACATTAGTTTTGTTGTATTTAGTATGTGATACTGCTGTTATTGATGAATTTTGTAGATTTGATCACTTTAAATAATTTTTCTCTTTCCCGCCGCTTTAAATAATAAATCTGACGTTTCACGGAACATCCTCTATGGGGTATCAAGCAGGCTGGTTTTTGATTTGTAAAAAAACAATGGTACATGTCATGTATATTTTTGATATCGAAATTTTTTTATAGTTATAAATTTATATTTTTTTTATATGTTGGGAGTTTCTAATTTAATATATTGTCATAATCATTACGACTCCCACATTCAAAAACAAAAACAAAAAAGATTCAAGCCCTCACTGCTTTGAGGCGTTTGTTTGGAATTATTCGCGTTCGTTCGTGTTTGTGTTCGTTTCTTCTGTGCATTTTCTTCGACTTGTTCGTTTGTGCTCGTTCGTTAGGTGTGGCGCATTTTTTTGTATTTACTTGCTCGTCATGTTCGTTCGTGCTTGCTCGATCATGTTCGTTCGTGTTCGTTCGTTAGGTGGACGCACCTTTAGGGTGAGGCGTACCTGTTATTTATCTATGCCTTGAGTTTCTATGCAAACACAAGCCAACTGGCACTCTACGATAAAAGCATGCTTCTTCGATTTTTCGTAAAATGTCATATTTGGAAATGTAACTTGATTTATCTGAACCTTGTTTGAACAGAATACGATTAGCTAACTAAAACTGGTGTTCTAAAAATCAATAGATTTTTTCCGTAAACTTGTGGTTTAAAAATCGAAATTAGATGTAAATTTCAGGAAATATAAGAAATTGAAAATATCATATAGTTTTCATTTCTAAAGTACCTGACCAAAAAGTCAAAATGTCTATTAATGGCATTTATGCAGAGGATAGTGAAGGTGTGAATATTAAATTGATGTTTTCTTATACATATTTATTAATTATGTTAATATGAACACAATGTAATATTTGCACTAACCTTGCTTAACTGAAAAACACACTGCACTCTAATTTTACACTTTTTACCAATTGTAGTGTATTCTTTATTCGCATAGTTAAATTAGACTAGTGATGATAAATAATGCACACACTTTATATATGAATAGGTAAATTTATACCAGCCACTCAGCGTCCTGATGGGACATGGCGGAAACCTCGAAGAGTGAAAGATGGATATATCCCGCAAGAAGAAGTACCTTTATATGAAAGCAAAGGTGTGTTGAAAACTAATAACAAAATAAAATTTATTTTCTTCCAAAACGAAAAAGACAATACTTTGTCTATGTAAATTGTTTTTGATTTTGTATGTACATTACATGTTTTACATTAAATCTTTCTATAAAAACCATTTATCAATCAATGAATCAATGGTTTTATTTTCTGCATTGTTTTTGTGATCTATTATATATTCTTGTCACAAAAAGTTAATATATGTTGTTTTATTGTAATACATTTTAACTATTTTTGTTATGATTTAAATTATTTTTATGTCAGTTTATTAATATTGCAAAATATTTCAAGGTAAGCAATTTGCTTCTCGAAAACCGCTGTTACCTGTTGGAATGTCTCCAGAAGTTGCATTGGCTTCTAAAAATAAAAAAGTTGGCCCAAATGCCCATTGCCCAATACCAGGTTTGGTTATATTGGAAGATAAGACTAAAAAGAAAAAAAGAAAAAAGAGGACCCAGTTGATAAATTGGCATCAGATCTAGCACAAACAAAAGTTAATGATACTCCAGCTGCTGACCCTGTTAAAAGGCTGAAAAATCTTAAGAAAAAAATTAGAGAAATAGAATCAATTGAAGCTAGATTATTATCAGGAGAATTAAAAAGTCCTGAAAAAGATCAATTAGACAAAGTTGCTAGGAAACTAGATATATTGTATGAAATAAAAGAAATTGAGAAGAATCTGTAAGTATAAACATTAATATATTTTAATAGTAAGTATACTTTATTTTTAAATTTTACAAATCATTGTTTGTGAATATTTGGCTTATATATTGTAGGCTTATTAATAAGTAAGAATGTTAATTTTGGTAAAAAAAGATGATGTTTGTGTATTAGAATATTTGTGAAACATTATAGATGTTTAAAAGATATAAGAGAATGCAATGATGCATTTTGTAATTAAAATTTAATGACAAAGATTTATTGTGACTGTTAAGTAATTAAGTGATAATTAAACACAGATTTTTATGTTAGAATGTAAGATTTTAAATAAGCTCTGATAAGTCATCCCACTGAACTTATTGATAAGCATAGATATACTAGTAAGCAGGGCTTAGATTAAGATAAAAATAATAATAATTTTATCCGTAGATACAACTTTTTCATTTTAATGCGTTCAAGAATTGTAGCAGAGTTGGCAATGGTATTCTTTATGTACAACATGAATATGAACAATTAATTTTTATATCAAATTATTATTTCAAACACTATATATAGTACATGTTTATAATTGAGTTTTATCATTTTCACTAAAATAATTAATTACGAAACAGCCTCTTGTGAATAGGTCAACATCTTTCAATAAAAAAAAGTCGATATCAGCTTCGACTTATTCGAAATTAATATGAAAAACTAGCAACTGATAAGGGTTAATACTGACAAGGAGAACCCGCGCATTGCTCGTCTGGGATTTTGATGAAATTTGACACAATGGTAGATTTTATGCCCAAAAATTAAAAATTAAGTATGAAAGCTGTTTAATTATACAAATTAATAACGTTGCATTTAGCAGCGCACTGCACACCATCCTTACACATAGCATGTAGCGTTCTTTTTTATCAGCGGGAGATTGTCCGAGTGGTAACGTCGGCGAATTCTAATTTTTGCGTCTATGGTCGAGAGTTCGAATCCCACTCAAGGTTTTTATTTTTTTTACTATTTTCATTTCATATTATAACTGCATGAGTTAATAATATTCACTCACAATTTCTTACTAGGGTGATTTACTTTAATTTTCACAGAGTCTTTTTTATACTTCTATTCAGTATGAACTAGGCTCATATCTAAATTCCTGTTTTTCCTATTTTTAAAAAATTCGAGAATAACAAAAAAAATGTAATTTTTCTTTAGATACCAACTATTTTGTAAAAAAAAAAAATTCTGAATCGATTTTAAAAATTCAAGAACCATTCGAAAGATGGTTGGGTTTCGACTTGATTAGTTTTTGGTAAAGATTCCCTGGCACAATTTCTTGTAATTAAATGTTGAAAGAAAAACCGATTTTTATGAAACTTTTTTTGACGATAGATATCATGGTCTTATAGAACATACTGACGTATACGGCCGTATGAGAAGTAGTTTAAATTTTAAAATTCACACAAGTTTGAAAAAATATAGTCAAAATTTATGTCAAAAGTTACTTTTGTGATGTGATAACTCAATCAAATCAATTAAAAATGCCTTGATATTAGCAAAAAAGTAAATGAACAGTCTACAAAACTTCTCTAGTTTTGTAAAATATGTTACAATATTCTTTTATATCATTAAATAATATCTGACAGCATTAGAAACTTCTCGTCCAAATTTAAGCTCATATTGCCGAATCGATTTAAAAAATCAAAAACTGTTCAAAAGATATTAGTTGGGAATGATACTGATTAGTTTTAGGTGAAAATTTACCGTGCCGTTTTCTTATAATTCGTTGTTGAAAAAAAATTGAGCCGATTTTAATGAAACTTTTTTTGATGATATATATTATGGTCTTATACAACTTATTGAAATATTACGGCCTTACGACAAGTAGTTTAATTTTAAAAAATCAAAGTTTGAGAAAAATGAGTGTTTTTTTTTTGACGTTGTTTAAAATTAAAATTAGACGATTTACTTCGTATAACGATAGAGTACTTGGTCTTAATAAACAATCTAAACCATTAAAGTACTACGGAAACTGATTCAAATATAAAAATTATTGATTTTTGAACATTTGCTTTTAGAAAATACTCCAAGTTAACGTGTTCGTTCGCTTTCAATCATATCTATAAATAAACCACTTGGAATACTTTTAATCACCCATAAATTAATTTTTTTTATTGATTAGGTCAATTAATTACACATATCGGGAAGTTCATGTAACTTGCCTCAAGGCAGTATACCAATACCAACCAGTTATAAACTTAGTTTAGATACAAATTAATGGATTTTATCCTCTGAAATATGTTTCTGAAAATGATAAAATTCAACACAGTAATATAGTTCATAAGAAATATTGCAAAAGGCCTCTTCAACTCTTCTCTATTTTCTGTAATATGAACAGAATATTGCTTATTTGATACAATTATCTTTATTATCAAATATTATGGCTGTTAATATGCCAAAATGTTATTGCAAAGTTTTTTAACTGAACTTTAAGCATTTAATAATAGGTTTTCTTAGTCATATAAAGATGTCCGTCTGTTTATAAGCATTTATTTCTTCTATATATTTCCAACCCGGATAGAGAATAAATAACAAGTAATATCATAAATATATTATTGTTATGTACATGTT